AGTAAAGATGGTACTACATAAAAGATGACTTTTGCCAGTTCAAGTGGTTATAGTAAAATTATACTATATGAACCAAGATTAGGCCTGTGCTGTATCTTTTTTTTCACCCTAAGTTGACCTAAGTTACTTAGAGTAAATTAGGTGGTTATTAAGCATTCCTTAATATTTTGAGTTATAAATATATACAAATTTATAGGAGGCGGTTTTACCAAAAGCTTGGTTGCTCTTTATCCACTTGCATGTTGCACTTCAACATTATTGTGTTGGGGTATTACAGAAAAACAATCTGTATTAAAAAATGTGCTACTTCTGTATGTAGTGTCCGTAAGACACTTTGTGTACTACTGGCATGATGCTTAAAAACCCCCCAAACCCTAACTCTAGAATTTCAGAGGCGCGTGGAACTGCATGCGTAAAATTCCCTTGAAGAGAAAGGTTGCGGATTTGAGATCCCTGATGACAACTAATACCTTAGTGCTGAAGACACCAGCATTTTGGAATCTTGGGTTATGCTTGAGTACTAAATCCAAGTATTAAAAAAATAGCAGTGGAAAGAATACTGTTGCAGGGTCATGTTTTGCTTTTCTGCCAATGCCAACTTGAAGCTGTACTCACAATAAGGAAGGGTCAAGGTTAATAGTGAGTATGTGCATTTTCAATGGACTTACTTATCTGCTAGTGAATCTTAGGCTCTTCTGCCCACACATACTAAATAACAAAAGGTTAACTACTTGTACCTTGCTGATGATTTTCAYAGTGTTGTCTGGCTCTTTTAGGCACAAATATGATTTTTATTGTTGATTCAGCCAATCTTATTCAACTTTTATGTGTTTTTTATCAGGTTTCTTTTTTTTTATGGCTAAAATGAGAAAAATTTATGAACAGCTGTTGATGCCAGTTCCGTTTGGTGGGAATGCAARTGGTTGAACTCAGTCGTGTTTGAGGAACAATTTTTTTCAGTACTTGCAAGGACATTTTATCATACAAAAATGAACAAAGGCATGGATATGATGGATTTCTTGGTTCATACATCTATTATTTTCTCAGCTTTAATTCAAGTCTTAAACTTGCTTGGTTTGTAATTCTTATTGTAGCAAAGCAGTCCTTTCAGTATACCAGAGTGATAAGTTATTTAACAGTTGTTTTTTAGCTAGTGCCTTTTTATCTGTATGCCTTAATTTTGTTCATATTTGAACACAATTTKGAAATATTATGGCTGTCACACAATTCTAAAAATGTATTTAAAGACAGTTTTGGTGACATAAAGTGCCCAAACCAAAATTCACTCACTGCATTGAAAAAAGTTCTTTATAATCCACTGTAGACTTTTGATTTGAGACATTTCTTGAAGTACTTCCCGAGTACTAGCTAACTAATAYAATTTTTACATTTGAGTTTTGGAGATTGTAAACTGATGCCTACCAGAAAAATTACTGCAGTCAGCAGTCATACAGATATTGTTACAGCCAAGGAGTAGCTATTGAGCTCTAGGTACTAGACTCTGGTTTTACGGTAGTGATCTTGTGTTCTTAGTGGGTGATTAAGTGATGGTTGGTAGGTTTCTAAACATGGTACAGTATTGGAAGGTGTTTACTATCAATAGACAGAAATAGTAGTTCCGTTTTAGCAAATCAACAAAATCTTCAGTGAAATTAGCTAGGTTCCCATTGACTTGTTTCCTGTTTCTTTTAGAGCATTCTAATGCTGCTGTTGTCTTGACTGAAAGCCTCCTTGCAGCACCAGGAGGGACAGTGCAGTACAACATGCCATTCTTTTAGACAGTGTAGAGCAATGTGTACACAGCTTCAGAGACTTGAGCAAATTGGTCAGATTTAGTGTAATTTATAATTTATTTTTTAATTTTTAATTCTTGAAACTTTGTCATGCATCTGAAAAAAAACATAACTTGTGTGCTTAAATATAAGTCCATGTAGTGTTTCTGGAAAAGCAAAAGTATTACTGCCAGTATTTCCTTGCTGGTAATTTGCTGTCTTGTGTTCATGACAAGTATGCAGTGTAAAATCACATATAATTACCAAAGCTTTTCTGTCCCCATCTACATACAGCCAAAAGTGATGTGTCATGGATTTGTACTGTTAACTTAAATATACATATATATCTGTCAGTAAGCTATTGCTAACTGAAGAAAGCAGGTACTAGTAAAAAGTGATGGTACTGCCCATATTTAAGATTTGGGTGTTTATTACTGTTTTGATGTGCAAAAATTCATGCCAGCATTAAAATGAAGAGTTTTTTTAAAAAGACTTTTAAACTTAATCTTATTGATGTCATTTAAATAAGAATGTACAAACTTGGTGACAAAATTTGGCAGCTTGCTTTATAGCCAAGTTTGAATTTGGGGACTCAAACGCTGTGGAATGCAATGAAGGAGAGGTATATTTGTGATCTGCATTGCTCTGTAGTAAGGACATTTGAAAGCTGCTGCAGAGCAATTTCTTTTACTTAAGAGCCAAATCTTACCCACAACTATACTGTGTGCTGCTCTCAGTGGGAGCACAAACACACACTGAAGAGGGGCAGAATTACCTCCCAAGTGGGGTTTCTAACTAAATTCTAGATCAGAAGCGAAGGAGCTTTTCTCTCTTTATTTTCTCTGCTTGGCCAACACATGCTTTATTTTTATTTTTTTTTTCATTTTAATTGGCATTATCCGCATGCTATGCAGGCGATGGCTGCTGGTGGCTCCTGCTTTGCCCGGGTGCCAACGTGGAGCTTCCTTGCAGAGCTCCAGTGCACGAGCCGAGGGGCCTGGCGAGGGCTGCCTGGTCAAGGGGGCCCAACCTGCCCTGCTCTGCTGCTGTCACCACACGGGCCCCGTGCCCTGGGGATGTGACTTGAGCCCTGCAGCCCCTGCCCCTACCAGGGACTGGGCCTGTGGCCGCGCTCTGCAAAGCAACCCTTGGGTTTCGCTYGAGCCATGTAGATATCCGTGTATTTGAGGGGGAAGTAGGGGACGAGGGAGAAACATCTCCTGTAGGAAGCAACATCAGCAGTCATGCTTGGGCTAGGTCTTCGTTTTTCATGAACCTGCTTAAAGGGAGAGGAACTGGATTAAATGCATTAAAATCATATTTTGTGATTCAGTCCTTATATTGAGTCCACTCAGGAGGATTGGAGGTCAAGGTCTTTTGTGGGGAGATACGGAAAAGGAGATGGTAACTCTACAGAGTGGATATTTGTGGGAAATTTTGGAGTTTTTTTTGTGTCTTCCCCCCCCCCAGTAACAGATTATCCTTTTCCCCAAAGATTATATATGTGGATTTAAAAACTAGGATTGCATTTTCTTTTCTGAGCAGGCATTAAACAGTCAGTTTCCTAGTGTTTGTTTCTCATTAACACCAGTTTAAAAGATGGTGTCATCCTGAAAAAGAAATGGTTTATTACAAAAATAGTGTCTGTCATCTCAGACCTCATATAAGTCATATAAAGGAATATCCTTGTAAATATGTGGAGGGAGACTTAGATAAATTGGAACGTAGGCTTTTAGTTTCATGAAGCTATGAATAAAAATTTGTAAATTTACTCTTGATCTATTGTACATTTTTTTTATGTAGTCATTAAATTCTCTATTTAATCTATCGGTTTCTCACTGTAAATGTTTTTATTCTCAGTTGAATGCTGGGCACAGTTTGTAATGTATGTACACAAAGGTGTTTTTTTCTATCAACGTTGACTTTTTTGCACATTTTTGGAAATATTTAATTTGTACACTGATTTAATACTCTGACCAATTGTTGATGGGTGTATGAGAATCACGTATGTGTGCAATGTACTACTGTCTGGATGTATGGTTTTTTATTACTTTTGAGATGTTGCTATCAGTAACTGCACTGCTGTTGCTGCTTTACATGGAATATCTTGTGTATGAAAAAAAAAAATTAAAAAATTAGCCTATGGTTACCTTGGTTAAGGAACTCAGGAGTTGAGCATTGCTTACTAGTTCCATTTGTCTAACAACCTTCCGAATTTAAGAGTACTTGTAATTCCGTGTATGCATTGAATGTGTGTGTGTATATATTATATATCCCAGTAATCTTATTCCACAGTTTCATTTCTACATTTTTATGAACTTGTTTTTTAAGGGTACTATGTTTAGTTAGAATAATTAAATATATAAAAGCTTTGAGAGATGATTTACTAGATGAATATATTTTCAGCTGGCTGATGTTCAAAATATTTTTTTAATTTTTTGTTTTTAACCATTCAAAATGTATTTGTATTTCCAAAATCAGACACGAATTGTACTTAAAGATATATTAAAAAACACTCCGTAGGGATGACAGTGTGCTTTCTCTTTTAAGGTTTTTGTATTTTATTTTAAGTGAAAACCCAAATGCTGAAGGATGTAATGGATGTAGAGAAAATACACTGTTGTGGAAGGTTGAAATGTAATTGTTGGATTCTTGGACAAGGTTAGGGGGTGAGATGTGAAGAAGARGAGCCCACTTTGGGAAGCTGCTCTTTCCTAGGTCCCGCCTGGCGCTTCCCCCATGGGCCSTGCGCCCAGGCCGGAGTTGGGAAGGGTCTGGGTGCCCCTGTCCCCTTGCAGGTGTCATGTTGAGGATGTGCTTTAATGGGGACAGGGCTGCTGCTTCTACCCTCGGGCTGTGGCCGTCGTTGACCTCAAGTCCCGTTTTTGGTGACGCTTAGATGGGCTCGGGCCCATTGCCCCTGGCCAGGCTTGAGGAGCTGAGCCTGTGTGCGGTAGTGCTTTGTGCCGGCTTGTGCACAGCTGCCTTAGTTGTGGTTTAAAATTGTGCTTATATGGAAAAAGTTCTTTTTTTTTTTTTTTTTTTTTTTAACGGATTTCTCTGTATCGTCCCACCCGCGGGGCCGCTGCGCCGGTGCCCGCCCGCTCCCGCCCGCGGCCGGGGGCGTGTCGATAACCACAGTATTTATTTCTCTGCCCCCCCCCCACCTACGCCATGGGGAGGGGCAACGCGCGGCGTCACCGCCCGCCCCGGCGGAAGTGACGCGGCGCTGCCGCTGCCGCCGTCCCGGCGCGCGGCGGCCATGGGCAGGAAGGAGCGCGGTGAGCGCGGCGGGAGCGCGCGGAGGGCAGCGGGCCGGGGGGCGCCGCCGCCGCCTCGTGTTTAACGGTGCCGCCCGCCCCGCAGATAAGAAGAAGTCCAAGAAGCGCCATTACGAGGAGGACGACGAGGAGGACGATGAGGGCCCCGGCAAGGAGTCGCACGAGGCGGTGCCCTCGGCGGCCGGGAAGCAGGTGGAGGAGAGCGGCGTCCGCGTGGACGAGTACGGCGCCAAGGACTACCGGCCGCACATGCCGCTCAAGGGCGACCACGCGTCGCGGCCCCTCTGGGTGGTGCGTGCGGGGCCGGGGCGGCCGGTGACGGGGAGGGAGGGAGGCGGGAAGGCCCCGGGGGAGGGGGTCGGAAACTGCCGCCTGGAATAGGGAAACTTCCCGCTTCTGCTGCTGTTTGTGGGAAGGGAAGGAAGGAGAATGCAGAAAGCCCAAGGTGTCCGTCTGGAAAGGCTAAAACTCTCTTTTTATTAGTGTCCTAAAAAGGCCACTGACAGGGCGGTGTCCAGGTCCTTGCAGAAGATTGAAGCTTCATATTCCTGTATCTCCTCCTGGGTCTCGTGGTGTTTTTTGTAGTTTTGTGTGTGTGTATACGTACATACATATATATATATATATCAACATACATATATATATCATACATATATATCAATCTAATGAGGAAAAACAGATGCACTTAAATTTATTAGATGTGTATTAGATTTTCTTAGTGTCTTGATTTTTTTTTCATTCTTGCATGTTGTTGTAATTTCATTGTTTAGGTCATTGCTTTGTCTGGGGGTAGAAAAAAAAAAAGCAGTGCTATATTGCTGTCTAAAGAGCAGAGTCATTCTATGTCATGACAGCTTCTTTGCAGGAAAGTCCTAGTTTTTCTCGCCTCACACGGGTAAGCCTATGAGAAAATRCATGTTTTTTTCTTGCGCGTACAGGCTCCCGATGGCCATATCTTTCTAGAAGCCTTCTCTCCGGTTTACAAGTACGCGCAGGACTTTTTGGTTGCTATTGCGGAGCCGGTGTGCAGGCCAACGCACATCCACGAGTACAAGCTGACCGCGTACTCGCTCTATGCCGCAGTGAGTGTTGGCCTGCAGACGAGTGACATCACGGAGTATTTGCAGAAACTGAGCAAAACCGGCGTCCCAGACGGAATCATTCAGTTCATCAAGGTAAACACAGTATGGAATTTAATCTAGTGCTGCTGTGAAAATCTCTTCCTGGTGCTGTTGCTTCAATGCTTTTTACATGCTTATTGCTTTTATAATCTTATGCTGTTGGTCCATTTCAGGAGACAACAGGCTTTATTTTTTGTCTTTATAGTATACRCTCACACAAATAGTATTTTCATAACGTGACCTACATGCAGTTTTAGCTTGAAATGGAAGTCCAAATATTCCTCTGCCTGTTACTAACACTGGCTCTTGTTCGTTGTAGTTGTGTACCGTCAGCTACGGGAAGGTGAAGCTGGTGCTGAAGCACAACAGGTGAGCGGCTCCTTCCTCAGCCAGCGGGTCCMGGCACAGAAATGTCTGCCTGGGGACTCAGTAGCTGCTGAGTTCAAAACCATTGCGCAGCTTCCAGTTGAGTTCCACGTGTTCTGGCAGGGTCCTAGTCTCCTAGATCCTAGTAAGCATTTAATACCCTACTCAATGAGTTCGGTTTGACTTTTTGGAGCTACTGGAAGTTATTGTTGTAAGTAGGATACTGCTTTGATCTTTTAGCTTATTTCTTTATTGCTTGGACTTGCATGATGTCACTAGGTTTTCAGATAAATATTTCATTCCTTCTGAATTTTCAGAAGCATACGTTAGAAAGCTTTGCTATAGCTGTCTTTCAGTTTCATGTATTTTTGTTTGTAATCCATTATTCAGGAAGGACAAGCCAATCCACTGTCAAGAGCTGAGTGTTTGTGTGAAACTGCTGATAAGTGGATTGAATCTGGTGTGTTTTATGTATAGAAGATTATGTTAGAATCTTGGGAGATCCACAAGTTTAGAGCTGTTTAGAGCACATGTTTAAGACTGTGATTTTAAAGGGAAGGAGAGAGCAGAAAAMCAAAACTTTTATATGCTTTCTTATGCTTTCTCTACTTCTTTGTCTTTATAAAATTTTCTTCTGTTTTGATAGCCACGGTTGAGCCCTAGCACTACAATATAATGCTTTCCTGGTGTTCCTTCTTTTTTGAAGGGAAAGCTACTGTTAGGATTCCTGTAGGCTTTTGTTGTCATATTTGATGTCTCTTGGTGGGGGTTAAAAAAAAAAAAAAAAAAAAAACCCTTGTGTAATTTGGAATTTAGTCTTCCTTGGCTCACATTTTAAGTGTGCTCTCAAATGAGCATCGTTATTGGTGAATCTTAAGGGAAAGAAAAATTTCTGGATGCGCAAGGTTAATTTTTTCCTGTGGCCAGGACACAACATGCAGAATTTTCACAGACTGTTCAGCTCTGTCTAGGCAGTTCTTCTGGGGTTTTCCTATTCATGATATATTAACAGCAGGCAATTTGAGCAGAATTGCCAGCAGTAAAATACATGCTGCTTTTGGTATGAAGAATCTTTAAAAAATTCTGATTACCATGATTCTTTTGTTTTTAAATTACTAGCCCTAAGATAGGAGGTACTTGAGAGTGCACCGGGRAGAGCTATAAATGGAAGCATCCATGCTGTTCTTGCAGTGAGTTATTCAGTTGATTAGTGCTTAAGCAGATCTTTTCCTTTGGACTCTTCATTTAGGTATTTTGTGGAAAGTACCCACCCGGATGTCATTCAGCAGCTTCTGCAAGACCAAGTTATTAAAGAATGTCGCCTGAGAAATGCTGAGGGTGAAGAAACTGAGCTCATTACAGAGACATTTACGAGTAAATCAGCGGTAGGCTTCCCCAGGTCCTAAAATGATTGAATTAACATAGATAAGCTGTTAAGTAATGCAGATCAGTTACTGTATGTGTGTCATGTCAGCAGTTGCATTCTGTTCTGTTAGCAGTGTTCTGTGCCTCGTTAATGAGCCTCATTTTAGTTGGGGAGGAGGTTCTCTAATGAAGACTTCAATAAACATTGCTGTCCATCCATTTCAGATTTCCAAATCCAGTGAAGGAGGCCTGGGTCCTTCAACATCACAAGGAACTGATGCTCAGAATAAACCAGATGTCCCAGCGGATTTGTTTGAATTTTATGAACAAATGGACAAAGATGAAGAGGAGGAGGAAGAAACACAGACAGTATCTTTTGAAGTCAAGCAGGTATGATTACGTTAAGTCTCCTAGYATGATTATGTTAAATCTCCTGGCATTTGTACCTGCGTGGGATATGCTCACGATTCAGGAATGAGCGTGAGGACTAAATATAAAGTGCCACGGCTGTTCGTTTGATGGAAGAACTTGTTGTGATTGTTGAAATGTCTGTCTTTTTTTGCCTTCCAAAATACTATCTTAGGATCTTCAGTGCAGAGAGACATAGACTGGTTCCTTCTCTGCATGTAGGGTGCAGTGCTCAAAAGTTAGAGAAGGGCTAAGGAAGGTCTCCCCACACATGGGACTGATTGTTACTCTCCAAGATGAGTAGGAATTCAGTGGAGGACAAATCACCTGTTGGTTCCAGAGCTGCTTTTTCTGCTTCTGTTGAGCTATTGAAATTTGCAGAAGGAACTTCTGATGGTTCTGCTGTTATCACTTGAGAAAGAAAGAGCACAGTCCTGGCTTGTTCAGACCTATGGAGAGCTTTTGTAAATTTTTGCTTGTTTTTTCTTGGATACTAACGTAGCCTTACTGCATTGTTCCTGCTGCCTAAAATATAGACCCTTTTTTCAGATATTTGGGGGGTAGGAATTGTCATAACTAAAGCTTTTGGAATAGACTTTGACTCTGCGGATGTAAGGAGTGTAGAAGGAATGCAATAGCTTTGTATGATCCTGTGTAATAAGTGTCTATTTGAAAGGAATAGTTTGGCTGTGGAGAGCTTGCCGTCTGAAGGTTTGTCTCCTCTTCAGGAGATGATTGAAGAACTTCAGAAGCGTTGTATCCATTTGGAATACCCCTTGCTGGCAGAATATGATTTCAGAAATGATTCGGTGAATCCTGATATTAATATAGATCTGAAACCTACAGCTGTTCTCAGACCCTACCAAGAGAAAAGCCTAAGGAAGATGTTTGGAAATGGGCGAGCTAGATCTGGTGTTATTGTCTTGCCATGCGGTAAGTTACTGGTTTCTTTGGGGTGGAGAGGGAGTGGTTTTGGTTTTGGCTAAATGATTGAAGACCTTGAGTGCAAGAAGTGTGCATCTTTGCCTATAATAAAGTAACCTCTGAATATTKCATTTGCTTAGATCCATACTGCAGTAGGGAGTGCTCTAGGTAGCAGCACGTAGAGCCCTGTCTGTGTTTAATGCATAGCCAGGGCCACTGGTGAGGGAGAGCCCCATTTGTAGAGCTCTTAAGGATCTGCTTAGCAGACCGTTTGGTTTCCTGCAGTTACTGAAGAGCTGATTTGTGGTTGTGATAATAGTTACTGTTAGTGCTTTCATGTTCTTTTCTAAAACAGCTTTGCTGATCTTCTAGTGACATTTAAAATTGTTGGTACTTAAATAGTTGTTCTTTGGAACAGGAAGACTTGGAACATCTAGAACTTAACACTCTCTTCATTTCAAAGCCAGGTAAAATGATTGTTTCTAGCTGCCAAAAGCAGCTGGAACCATTGAGAACGGTTTTGTTGAGAACTTGCACAATAACGTGCCTAGTCAACAACTGAGCAGGTTTTATACAGTAGCTCAACAGCTAGTCTGCTTTTTTAAGACTSTTATAAGGAAACAGTGAAGAATTTCCTTTTCTTAGGTATGATTTTATATTTTCAATCTTTTTTTTTCTTTTCCCTCTCTCTCGATTTCTCCGCAATGACTAATGAGTATCAGTCCTGTTCCTCTGTAGGTGCTGGCAAGTCCCTGGTAGGAGTGACGGCCGCGTGCACTGTGCGCAAGCGCTGCCTGGTGCTCGGCAATTCTGCGGTGTCTGTGGAGCAGTGGAAAGCCCAGTTCAAGATGTGGTCCACCATCGATGACAGCCAGATTTGTCGGTTCACTTCGGATGCCAAAGACAAACCCATTGGCTGTTCTATTGCTATTAGCACGTACTCCATGTTGGGACACACGACTAAAAGATCCTGGGAAGCAGAGAGAGTAATGGAATGGCTTAAAAGTCAAGAGTGGGGCCTTATGATTCTTGATGAAGTCCATACTATCCCTGGTAAGGAAGCAGTGGCCACTTCTCTTGTGCTGTATTCGCTTGTTAATGTAACTCTGCTCTTTAAAAGCTTGTTTTTGTGTTGCCTTTTTCACATTTAATATAGAGGGCAAACTCAAAAGTTAGCGTTTTGCGACTTAGGTAAATGGCCATCTTCTAATTTTGTTGTTGTTGCTAGAGAGTTTAGCCGAGTGCATTAGTTTATTTTGGGTAAATGGAGAAATAACACAGATAGCTGGAGGTGTACTGGGATTTGCAGTGTGCAGTGAAGGTGTAAACTGAACCTGCAATCACCCTGAAGCTCTGCAGTAACACACCTCAGCTAGAATTGTGTGTGAAATGGGCAGTGCTTCTAACACTCGGCTTGCTTTGTGTTTAGGAATCTGTGAAACTTTCTTTTTCTCCCCAGTATTTGCCTTTTACATCCATTCAYAACACTAACCAGAAAATTTGCCTTGTCTTGCTTAGCAAAAATGTTCAGACGTGTGCTCACCATAGTACAAGCTCACTGCAAGCTGGGACTGACTGCCACCCTGGTCAGAGAAGATGATAAAATTGTTGACCTCAACTTCCTGATTGGACCAAAGCTCTATGAAGCCAACTGGATGGAGCTGCAGAACAGTGGCTATATTGCTAAAGTGCAGTGTGCTGAGGTGAAGCTTTGTTTTTTTATTACTATCAAGGTATATCTAGTATGCTTACTTTTTTTCTTTTYACAGGAAAGCTATACAATTGAAAAAGGTGCATGTATTTAACATCAGGTGATTATAGACCACTTAATGGTTTTTAACTGAAATATAGGCAAGTTCCCTCTTTAATTGGAAGAGTAATATTTATTGTAAAGGGATATATGACTGTTGTTGTACTGTAGGTATTGGCAGTACCAGTATTGCTGAATGGGTTGACCCAATCCCAAATTCTAAAAGGCCTTATTTCTACTTTGATTTCATCTTGACTAACAAACACTCACTGCTATAGAATTTTGGCAGGGCAAAATTTTAATGAGGTTGAGAGAGGATTCGAGGGGGCTGGCGACTCGGTCACTTAGTGGCTTTTACCTTAGCGTAGCAAATACTGTCTTATGATTTGGGGCCTGTGCTTTAGAGAAATCTTAATGCCAGGTCTTAATTTCTCTCTGGAATAAAATTAGTTAAACAACTGTGGGTCACTTTGTGCATGGATTTCTTACTTCTAGGTTTGGTGCCCAATGTCACCTGAGTTTTACAGAGAGTACGTAGCTATCAAGACAAAGAAGCGGATACTGCTGTATACCATGAACCCAAATAAATTCAGAGCCTGCCAGTTTCTGATTAAGTTTCACGAGCGACGGAATGATAAAATCATTGTATTTGCTGACAACGTGTTTGCACTGAAGGAATACGCAATCAGGCTTGGGAAGTGAGTCGCATGTGACCCTCTCCTCTTCCTTATTCCTAGAAAAATGCCCTGTAATTTCACAGATTGCATTATCTCTTAGATGTTTTTTACAATACACTGACTTAAGTCCAATACTCCTATAGAAAAAGGAACTCGGGAGGTTGTTTTTGAATTGGTGTTACTRGTGTTGCAACGTTATTCCTGCATAGAATTGCTTCAAAAGAATCGTTGTTTAGTAGAAGCCTTGGCGGACTTTTAATCCAGSATTTCTGTGGAGGGCTGCTGTTATTCCTGAGTTCAGTTTGTTGTCAGATTTGTGGTAAAAGGAATGGCAAACCTTTTAAAAAGATCACTGGAACTATTCTTATAAGAAACTGTAGGTTCTCTTGTGCCTGAGAGGGAAAGACTTCTGAAATGAGAACCCTTTGGATCTTTCAGGATCCTTTTCTCAGGGAAAATGAGCAGAGGAGGTGGCCTTAGCCTTTCTTTGAGAAGCCCCAGTGATATCTCCTGTGGGAAGCTGTGAGGCAGTTTGATTGTGTATGATTTCCTGCCCAGGAATTTCATCAGTATTTCTGAGCACAATCAGAAAGAAATCTCCTTACACTTTGCAAAAATTGCYCTGAGTTTTGAATGTAATTTAGTAGCCGTCTTCCGCTGGCTTGCTGTGACATCTAATAAGCAGAATTAATAGTGCTGGACGAATTCCAGCTCCYGTGGTCTCTTTCTTCCCATTTTTTTAAGTCTGTCTGGACAGAGATTAGCTGTAATGATGCCTYTGGAATGTAGTTAGCTGTGTTCAGCGCTCCGCGGAAAAAGCCTTTGAGTAGAGACAAATGCTGGGAGGAGATGCCAGCCTCCCAAGCAGCAGAACTCCTGTTAACTGGGGCAGCTACTGCAGCCACGCGTGGCAGGCAAGCCCAGTGCAGTGTTTACAGTTTGCTTTCTSTGTTCCTGGGGAAATTCTCCTTTGCACCTGGATTGTGGAGCAGGTTACACAGTTGTCAGTGTTGGAAAGAAAGGAGGGTTATGGTGCCAGCTAAATGTAAAGTGGGATTTCTTTTAAGCAGAGAATTTTCTAATGGTTGCCTTTGGGCACGACCAAAGCTGGTTTTGGCAGGGCAGGAATGTTAAATTTAAGTGGGAAGGAGCAGTCCAGTGGTTTTTGTGGTGCCATCTGGGTGGGCAAAGTGTGTAGCCCGGGTAGGACCCATGCGTTGGCAGGGGGCTGCTCCCTGGCTGCTTTGGCACCACTTGTGCTTTAATCTCTCCCCTTTGCCCTAGTGCTGAAAGGGAGAGGAATTACTTGAATCTTAGAGCCACAGAATTCAAGCTACTTAGCCAGCTCTCGGCCCTGAGTCTGTCCCCTAGCGCAGTGAAGTGCATGGGGTGGCTGTGCTTTGCCTCTGAGTGGTGCTCTTACTGCATTTCAGTCACTGCTTTGATGGGCTGTGTCTTTGGCAATTATTTTTGGCTGTTGCTGGGAAAGGGACCTCTGCAGATCCCTCCATTGCCTTTTCAGAGGGAGGAAAAGGGGTAACGGGAAAAATATGAAGCTGACATTTGATGTTTTAAGTTCTGGATCAGGAAAGTAGTTGGATACACGTTAATAATCATTGCCTAAAGGGCAATGGGGGTTAAAAGGAGGGGATTGACAGGYGGGAGGTTTGGGTTATTCTGTGTTTAAGAATGTGCAGGTGTTTAACAACCCTTCTTTAAGGGYTTAAGAAACAGCAGACTCGTAGCTGTTCAGTTCAGTAGGATTTCTTGCACTTCAGTCTTGATGGGGATTAAACTCATCACAAACTTCAGATGAAATACCATTTTGGGCTGCTCACAGCCAAGAAAGTTGAGCAGCTAATTCTCATTTCAGTAGATGGAGAAGTTATTAGGAGGGGCAAGAGGTTAATTTCAAAAATAGGAGTAATTTTCCCAAAAGAATTTTCATCAGGCAGCTTTTGACACTCAGAGTAGAAGYCTGGGTTTTAAGTGCTTAAATAGGAAGCAAAGATTGCAGCTGTCAGTGCACTAGATCTGTCGATTTGTGGGGGGAAAAAAATCTCTTTTAACAGTTCAGTCTTTCATGTGAGATTAGCAAATGTCTTCAGCCTATTGATGTACAGCTTCATGGGGGTGCGTTAACTGCAAAACGTTTATAACTGTCAGAATTTATTTCTGGCAGAGTGGATTGCTGCAAATTGCTCCACAAGCAACTGGGTAGCTGCCCTAGAGAGCTAAACAAGCTAAAGATAAAGCATAACTCTGTCAAAATCTATTCCATGTTCCTATCAGTTTAAGTGCACACTCCCTTCTTTGGCATCCAAGTACCTAACGTGAAATGACTGAGAAATCTTGATCTGATGTAATTTGAATATGTTCTGTTCTTTTAGACCCTACATATATGGTCCTACTGCACAAGGAGAGAGAATGCAAATTCTACAGAACTTCAAGCACAATCCAAAAATCAACACCATTTTTATTTCCAAGGTAATTGGAAGCATATTCAGTGTATTGTTGTATCCACTTCCAGAATGAACTTTCCTGAAGAGCAGATTGTGTGGGCAAGTTGGGCACATGACATTGCTCTTTCAGCTTTCAAAGGCATACATTTCATTCAGTCATTATTATGATATGCAGAAAGAGGAGATTGCTCAGAGGCTGCTCTTGTGTTGTAGGTGGGTGACACATCCTTTGATCTGCCAGAAGCCAATGTCCTGATTCAGATTTCGTCCCATGGTGGGTCTCGAAGACAGGAGGCTCAAAGGCTGGGCCGAGTGCTGAGAGCCAAGAAAGGTAAATGAGGGGGTGGTTGGGCTCTGCCGCTTGCATCACAGCACAGCTTTCAAGTAATCGTTCAGTTTAAATTGTGGAATAAACTGCATCGTCTCAAATCAGAAGGTGACAGCCAAGGCGCTGTTAGCAAAATTGCTTGAACCTTTAGGTCTTTGTTTTTCATTTCTTAATAATTTCCTCAACATCAAATGCTTGTTGTTGAGAAATAGTGTTATTCTAAACAGCATGTTTGTCTAGAAAGCATGTCTCATGTTTTCCTAGAGAACATGTGTCTCTAGAAAGCACATTTTTGATATATGCAGATTATTTCCATGTAGAAATGGGACTTGGTTTCACAAATTATTTGCATTTTCTCAAAACATACCCAAGAATCCTTACTAGAAAAAAATGGATTCCTAAAATAGTTTCTGTATGTAGCATTTCCACACAGGTTTGTGTGTGTTCACTTTGTGCTGCTCACAGGAGCACAAGAGGCTTGTGAAATGCAGCGTGTGGAAGCTGCAGTCGTGAACAAGCTCTTGGAGAGGCTTCAGCTTCTAAAGCAGAATCCAGAGTTTTTTGAGTAATAGATACYGGGGATCCTAAGTAGAAAATGATGGACAGCATGGTGTATTCTTAACAAAATATCTGTTTCACGCTTTTAATATAAAATCACTGCAAATTCTGTTTTACATTCATAAATACTTCCTTGTATTGTTCTATTGAACTTTTTAAACTTCTTTTACARTCCTTTCACTAACTTTGTGCAATTTCTTTACATTATAAACTTTTAAATAGTTTTTTTTCTCTTTTACCTTTTTACCTCTCTTTGTTATGTTTAGCATAATAAAGAAGAAGGTTTTGCTCAGAGCCCTTAGTTTAAGTGTAACTGATTAAATCTGCATTTCCTTTTCTCTTTCTTCCTGTCACCCATGTGCAAGTTACTAAGAACCAGAGCAGGAATGTRCCTGCTGGGAGCTTTGTCAATCAGCTGGTGAAGCTGTGGGTACAGCTCATCTTAGAAATAAACTGTGCACCTTGATTCTGCTGTTATCATAACAAGTTATCATAACACCGGTTTTCACTGCTTAGTGTTTTATTGTTCTTGGTTTCAGGGTTCCACATGAAACTAATAGTTTGGTGTCTCTGTCTCCTAGGCATGGTTGCAGAGGAATACAATGCCTTTTTTTATTCTCTTGTATCACAAGATACTCAGGAAATGGCATATTCCACTAAGCGACAGCGATTTCTTGTAGACCAAGGTTATAGTTTCAAGGTAACTTGCGCTTTCTATGTGTTATATTTATGCCTATAATTTTCTATTCGCTTATTTTAGCCGTAGGTCAAATACTTGAGAGTTGTGGGTGTGAAAGGTATTAATTAAGCTGATACTTGCAGATAATAACGATGTTGACAGGACTGTTTTATCACCTGTATTACTGTGAGAATCAGTAGTACAGCTTCTAGGTAGGTACGCATTTCAACTCGAAACCGAGCAAATGCTGGGGAGCCAAGCAGAAGTTTACTGGAATGGTTGATTTACATTCGTGTTCCTAAGCCGTCAGCAGGCCCCTCAGTGTATGTTGTGGTACTGATTGGGTATAAAACATTACTGGCAGCTCTCTATGTCTCTAGAAACCTGTGGCGTGTCAGAAGACTTCCAAAACATCGTAAGTCACAAACAACTTTGAAAGACAGTGTCTATCTTAGATTCATGCATCCAGCTCTGGAAATCATAAAGTTAGGTATCCAAAGAGTCTAGCCACCCATTCCGAAGGAATTGTTTGCTTGGGATCTTTGTCACACACTGATCTCGTGCATTGTTTTTAGTGCTGTCTAAAGCCTGCAGTGTTGCTGAAGATGGTCAGGATGCAGCCGTGTTGGTACTGATGGCTTCGTGAGCTGAAACTGTTCAGCTAATGCAGCTCCTCAGACTCTGCTCTTTTAGGCTCCACTAAGAGTTTGACCTCTCTGTTGTAGTTTTCTCTGCGTGATATGAAATGCATCACTCAAATCAGTTTTACAATCATATTCTTAATTGGTTAAGAAATGAYAGAACTTACTGTAGGAAAAGACTCTTGCTGCAGAGTAGGAAATTTCCCATAAATAAAATGTAGTCATCAAAATAGAGATTATCATGACAGCATAAAGAGCTATGGCTTGTAACTTAAAAGTTTTTCCTAAAGTCCCTTTGGCAAAGGATTTAACATCTCATCTGCTGTCTCCAGACATATGTGGTTTCTTCTTATTTGCTTTTTAAAAAAGTTTACGCTTTTAACCAATTTCAAATTTCACTTTGGAGAAAGTTTTTTAGCATTTTTTTCTTTGTGTGCCATGACCTTCAAGAATGCCTTGCAAATCATCTGRCTGAAAAGACTGTCACCTTGATTGCTACAGAACTGCCCATCTTCTCCAAAAGGAGCTGCTGCTGTCAGAAGGCACAAGCTCTGTCTTTGAAGGAAACCTTGACRGTTTATCCCTTTTTGTGGATCATTCACCTGTGTGTGTCTCTGTATTTGTTGCCTTCCTCTGAACGTAACCTATCTTCCCACTGAAGCAGCGCCCTTCTGCTTTATAGATTCCAGACTTACCTAGGATTGCCTAATACCTAATGAGAGACGGGGTGCTCGTGCATAAGCCTGTTTGCCTGGGACTAAGTGYGTGTACAAGCAGAGCTCATTTTTACAACAAATCTGAAGACCCTCATATGGCATCTAATAGATGGCTAAAAAGACATGAGGACACATGGCTTCTAATTGAGCCTGGTTRTTTAAGGACTTTTGTTCCTGGACAAACCTGCAACGGTGGCATCCCCGGGGATCAAATCTCTAGGAAGCAAATGACTGCACTGTAATCAGCAGCACATTAAAAAGAGCTTGAGAGAGGAGGTTCTCACACTGAAACAGTCCTGGCTGATTATAGTGTTTATGGTTTTTAAAAGCCTTGTTTTTCTTTGTAGCAAATGTATTTTGACAACACTCTAGATTAGAACTAATCTGCAGCTAACTATAACAAACACTTCAATGTTTAGCTAAAAAGGATTAGAGAAATCCCTTATATGTGAGTGCTTTGGATTATAGAACTAATTAAGAGGTTAAAATGGAGCTACTTGATTTTGTAAAGATTTAGTCCTGGACATTTTGGCATTTTAGTGAAACCAAAAGCAGTGACAGCTGAGTGTCTGGAGTAGCACCTAGCTGGTCAGTCCTGCAATATTATTTACTTAAAGCTTAGCAACAAAATGGAGAGTATTTATTTTCTTTAGCTTGCCCAACTTTTAAGTCTTGGTCATAGCTGCCATCAAAAATACAGGGCTAGAAGGAGCYTTAGGGAGACCATCTAGTGTGTTACTTCATTCCAAGGCAGGGTCAGCCATACATGCACCATTCCTGAGGCTGGGCTTTCTGCTCCTTCAAACATCGAGACTGCCTCATCGTTAGGTAATTATCTCAGTGCTTATGTCCTGCCCTTCAGAGCAATTATTTCCAATGTCTAACCTTACCAACATTTGAATACTTCCCCATTTCTCCAGGCAAGTAACGCTCTGCACTGTTCTAAGACTTTTTTTCCCTTCTCATTATCTCTTAACAACTCTATTTTCTGCATTTTAGCAAATAAAAAAGATTGAAAGAGTAGAATCATGCTTGTTGGCTACATSGTGGATGTTTTTCTTTGCTTCTTAAATAGGACCTTTGTGAATACAACTTACTGCTTGGAGTCTTAAGAATTTTTTTTTTTGCTTAGCTAACTGAAGTTTTGTTACTGCTTAGCGTATTTATTTAGAGGATGTATGTGGGATACATAAATCTTAAACAGCAGAAAAACTCGCTGTATCAAGAAATCRGGGGCAATTTTGAGCTTGACAAATTGATGGTTTAAAAAATGGATGATACAGAGGAAAGTGGGTGGAAGGTTCCTTGAGTCACATGAGCTTCCTCTGCAGCCGCACCGGACAGGCTGGTGCAGGTTGAAACTGCTTCCCGGGATCCCTTTTTCTTTAGTTTTGGGGTGATCATACTAGATGCAGCCCTTAATAAATAAAAAGGAGGGGACCTACTGTACTCTTCATTCAGCCTATGTAATAGGACAGGTTGCTTCTCTGAATAGATTCTTAATGCTCAGACATYTCTCAGAAGGATGCCTATTTTAGTTTCTGAAATCTTCACTGAAAACTACCCACTGTCTCACTAAGTTTAAAAAAAAAACKGTTTAAAATGTTTAAAATGTTGTGTCCAGTGTGCAGTTGTTTTGCTTTAAGTTGCATTTGATTTCTTCCTTAGTCTTTGTAATCAGATGCAGTCCAGATTACTGAAATGATTAATTTCTAATTCTTTTGATTTGAGATAAGCTGAAAGGGGACGAGGAGGAGGAAGACTGGTAAATAATCAAGAGAAGTCGTTGAATTRGTTTATCTAATAATCTTTTCTAATTAGAAACATATTGAGACATCAGAYTTCAATTAAGATTCTCATGAGTAAGCATATGTGCTCGTTTGCCTTTTTTCCTGACCACTGTAAGAATGGGAAGGGAGAGAGAAGGCTGATGTTTTGAAGAAAGGCATAATATTTTGATAAAAGGCAAGGAATTTAAAGAAAAACTACTTGCTGGGATGATCCTCACATCACTAATGCTTTGGATACCATACACTGAGTACCTTTTAATTAGGATTTCAGTGGAACTCACTAAGTGCGGGAAGARCTCTTGTGCAGTCTGTGTAGGTGAGACGGCCTGTTGCCTGTCGCGTTGTAAGGGAAAAAGGAGAACCTTTTGGCTCTGGAGGGAAGAGCTTCCCTGTAATGAAGCCCGGAGCACTGCACGGCCGGGAGGTGGCGTCTGCCCTCTCCCTGGGTACCCCGGAGCTGCCGCAGCTGCAAGGAGCAGCAGCAGCTTCGGGGCCTCGGAGCCCTTCCCCGCCGCCGCTCCTGCATCAGCCGCTTCTCCCGCCTCAGAACTTGTTAGGYTGCTTTGCCCATGTCCAAAATGCTAAAATTCACAGTTTCTGGAAAGCTAGTGGATCATTTTTATGAAATACAAAATAGATCTCAAACTGGACACAAACTTAGAGCCCACCGTGCATTWAGGAACGTGTTGTGTGTATCTGTGGTGGGTAGTGCTAAGCTGTTCAAACTGCTAATTAAAAGCTCAAGACAGTCACAAGAAGGATGTGGGACCTGGAGTACTTGTCTGGGTTGCGGRCAGCTGTGCAGGATGCTGGGAAGGGAACAAAGGAAACATTTTGTGCTGTGCTTTGTTTCCCAGGTCATAACAAAGCTTGCTGGCATGGAGGATGAGGAGCTTTCATTTTCATCCAAAGAAGAGCAGCAGCAGCTTCTCCAGAAAGTCCTGCAAGCATCAGACCTGGATGCTGAGGAGGAAGTAGTAGCTGGAGAATATGGTTCAAAGTCAGCTCAGGTAACAACAAATGCTTTGGAAGGATGACTGTAAGTCATGCAGAATAGGACCATTCCCCTCTCATTTCTGTGCAAGAGTGATGCCACCTTTGGTGCCRTAGTGTCTGTTTGAAATACTGGCCGAGACACTTTCACAAGCAAGGAAGATGTTTAAAAGCATTTTAATGGTGCACCTGTGGCAGAGCACATCCTTTTTGGTGGTGTCATTTGCCTTGAATCACCTGGTGCCCTGAGGGTAGAAGATTGCAGGTYGCTTTTGTTCACACTCAAGAAAAGTAGCATTTCTGCAGGTAGTAGTTTAATATTTTCAGCAATAGACTTTCTAACAAAAAAGCTATCTTAAATATTTAATAACACATCAGTATTTTTTYTAGTTTATTTTTGTAGTACATTATGGTGAAATGCAGTAGGAATTGCACTAGTCACTCCAAGATAATTTTCCTGTTAAAGCTTACATAATTATATGTACTTATGGTGAGTGGGAGGCAGGGAGTTTCACTGGGAAAATGCTAAGAAATGTGCAAGGCCTCTCTGGCATTGAGGTCAGTTAGTGGGTGGTGCTGCCCCTCCAGCTAGTGGGGTCAGTAGCTTAAAGAGTTACTTACCACACACTTAAGTATGTCTGGGATTTGAAGTTTTTATTCCTTTTTCCCTTGCTACAGGTGTCCCGCCGCGTGGGCACCATGAGCTCCATGTCGGGAGCGGATGACACGGTTTACATGGAATACCAGTCGTCCCGGAGCAAGACTTCGGCGAACAAACACATCCACCCACTGTTCAAACGCTTCCGGAAATGATGGTGGTAAAACTGGATCCGTGCCTCGCTTTCCATAACTCAAAATATGGAGCTTGAGATTTTACATGTCCTTTAAGAGACTTTTTTAGATGTGTCTATATAGCCACGTATGTACTTAGCAAGGTATGTGCTTTCGTGGATGAGTCTGAAAGGGAAAAAGAAAAAGGAACTAAGTCTCCCCACAGGAGAGAGGTTATGCAGGCACTGAGTCCCGGTTACACCCATCTGGTTTTCAGAGCAAATAATAGAATTTATTTTTATCAGCTGAAGACCACTTTTCAGAAGAATTCTGTAAAGGTTTTGTATATGGAGTTTGTACTGATGTTTGAAATATTATTTATCCAATGACTGTGTATGCTCGGCCGAAATATTGATGTTTAGAATGCTTAAATAATGGTTTCCTGAGCTGAACAAATCCTGACAGGAGCACTTTACATAAGATTTTTAATCTGAGAGTTAATTTATACTCCTGGTTTAACCTGTCTTAAAAGTCTAACAAATTGGTTTCAAGTCTTTTGAAGTTTAAGACAAGACAGACAGACTTCTCTTCTAAAGTGAACTCAAGGAAAGCATTCACCAATAAAAATTCGTTCCTGTGCTCCATTTTCTTACATTCTTATTACTGATGAGAAGCTCTTGAAATAAAGGCTGTTTTCCCTTGTCATTTATATTCTACTTATTGATCATGAAGTAAAACCACAGTGACTACTGGTGACAGTCTGATGTCACTGCAAAAGTTGTTGAATCAGAAAGTGCTTTGATTTGCTGTAGAGTGATTGAGAAGCTGTGATATGAAGGGGATATTCCTGAGTTGGGCTTTGGGTTTTTTAATTACATTTGGGTTAAATGACAATGCAGACATAAAAAGCTGTGTGTGGCTGGAGGGGGATTAACTATCCTTAAATTTGTAAGACTGCAGTTGGTCTTAATGCAGTCTAGAAAATGCTGAAAGGGTGGATTTGCAGCAGGAACATCCTTTTAGAAAACCATCGGCTTTCAATCTTCTTTGTTACTTGAGAAATTCTCTGTCCTTTTTATTATAGATTCCTTTACCTATTTCTGACAGGCTGCAATACTGAAAACAGTATTTTTGTGTTCTTGATGTGGCAAAATAGCAAGTGTCTGTCAGTGATGGGATTCATGTTGAAGGATGATGTTGGTTTTCATTGAAACCGTCACTTTTCTCTAGCAGTGACCTGTTCTGTTCAAGGCTTTGAAAATGTGGGACATCCAAGGTGACTAATTCTCAGGACCACTTAATATGGYATGTCATAAGAAGCAGAGAAGGGATAAGGATCTAAAGCAGCTACAAAATGCACAAGAGGAGCTGAATTCTCTATTTGTTGCAGCTGATGAATGCGTTTTTTCAAGCACTAAATAGAGAGTCATGCACAGCTATCAGTACCCTAGACTGGCTACCTTGCTYTAAGTGCCTTCTTTTTGTACAATATTTGATTAGGACTTTAATGGACATCATATGGTAGATGAAACCAATGATTAAGTTTTAGTTCATGTTTCCTTTAAAGCAAAGTTGCTGTGATAGTAAGTTCTCTGCAAGCTCCACTCTTAACTCATACTCTATTGAAATTTGCCCCTCTTGCAGCCAAATTGCCTTGGCAATTTGGCAACCAGTCAGCTTCCACACAAGTGACTACCCAGCTTGAGAAGATGCATCAGAAGATGGGTTTGCGGGCAGTCAGAAAAGGCAAAAACCATGGCAAGCAACATAGCTTTTTCAGTGAAGAGCTGTTTGAAATTGATGGGTTTATTTTTTTTCTGAATTTCTGCCATTGAGATGCTGTTTTCCAGCTCTTCTTCTTTCAAAAGTTCTTAGGAGCCTAAGTACAGCCTTGGCTGAAAGGCGTTACTTGGGCAAGAATTAATCTCAGATCACCTTGCTTTTGCTTCCATAAATTTTATTTTGAAATGGATCAGTTATATGAGCACTGTGATGTTTTGCAGATAGTACAGTATTATATTGCATAGAATATTTTTTAAATACTTACAAGCGAGATATAATGAGATTATTTAAAAGTGACAGTAATAGCTGAGAAAACAAAATTCCTGTTAAGATGATAATGGAACCACTGACTCTGAATAGCCGTGTTATTTAGGGGACAAAGAAAACTCTGAGTGAACTTTGTCAGAGTTCATGTAAGGAGGAGGGCAAGTTTAAATTGGATTTAGAGATAACATAGTGAAGGTACCAGTACAATGGATATGACTCCATYATTTAGACTGAGTGAACAGTATGACTGTGGATTTGAAGGCAAATCATCATCCAAAAATAACAGATACTCTAAACTCTCAGTTGTTAAGTTAGCTAATACTATGATCCGGTTACATATCAAAGGTTAAATAAAACTGAAGCACTTCTATGAAGATGCAGGTGGTCCAGCTTGTTTGAAAAAAATGAAAGTTCAAACTGACCAGTTATGTAAAACACTTTTCCAGACCCAGCAGCCTGACAGACTGGGAGAYTGTTTAAATTTTCAAAACTGTGGTTGTGTTTTCAAGGCATCWTTATGACTTCTGATAAATTCAAGTGCTGAAGGATTGTGGAAATAGGAAAAAAATGCTGRTATGTCAAATTACACAGCTGTGTTTTGGTTAGCTAGTGTGGATGGCCCTTTATCATTTGGTGGGTTTACGTGGCCTGGAAGGAGCAGGTTTTACTGCTGCAGCTGCCTTATTCACTGTTATTTCGGGGACCTCCAGAGCTCTCTGATATTACTGGATTTCTTTCATCTAGATCCTGAAACAAATCCTCCATCAGACCTGGAAGGAAAAGAGGAACAGACAAAGCTGGGGCAAACTCATCCATCAGCTTGAGTTTTACCCTAAACTACGAAATAGTAGTGAAACCCTCTGCCTTCTTCTCGAATGTACAAGGTACCTTTGCAAGTGGGACCTCTGCCTCAGACAGTAGTAGGAATTATCAGAGGAAGGATCCCAAGAGCAGCAACCTTTGGGGCCCGTACCCCAATGGCTCGTACAGGAAGTCGAGCAGAACCACGGAATTAGGATGTGGTGTGAGAAAGAGAAGCAAGTAGTTTGATTACAGTCTGCGTTGCGGTAGCCCAAATACATACATTCATATTCCTAAGTATTCCTTTGTTATTTGTGACTAACCACAACACAGTCTGGTGCTGTAGTTCAGGTTGTTCTTTGTCCAGGTGAATTGAAAWCAGCCAGAACACCCGTGCTCCTCGCGGCAGGGTTACCCCAGTGTTATGGTACCTGTGTGGCTCAGCCCGTCTCCTTTAGCATCTCTGCCTTTTACTGCTTCATCTAACCAGTGATAACCTAGCAGTATCTTTGCTTACAAATGTCTGCACACTGTATGGCGAGTTGTTTGATTAAACTATTTTGTGAGGTTACAGTTATCTGTTCTTCACAGCAACCTATATGGTAGGTATATGCTGGTACAAGATCTGCTATGGTTGGGCTTGATGATCTTGAAGGTGCTTTCCAACCATAATGATTCTATGGTTCTATGTTTTTGTCTTCTAACCTTTTTTTTATTCACRAAATATTTAAAGGCTGTCAACGCGTTCCCACTAGTTTTCCTTCCCACGTGACATAAATTCTCTCCATCACCTCCACGCRTCATTTTGAAAGACAATTCTCACTTTTCTCATCAGTGGTCTCTGTACTTGAAACACTACAATGAAGCTATTTTAAAGACATTGTTTTAGCTTAAAACAATATGTATATTGATGGTCTTATTGTGTGCCCTTTATGGTTGTATTATTTACTGCTGTGGCTGCAAGGACTGCCGCRTGTGTCTAGCTCTGCTATTACAGGTAAATTTATTTCAGCAGAATTCTCTGTGATGAGATTAAGCCTGTGTGCAAATCTTAATTGGATTTTGGCCCAAGACAATATAAATGTAGAAAAATAAACAAAGAGAAGGAAAAGACAGACAAATAACTTTGAAGTTCACTAGATTTAGTTATGACCAACTTGCTGCGAAAGTAATTTCCAGAAATGTGGCTTTTTCTTGAGACTTCCCTCAGTCCTCAAGTTCTATATGAACCTTTGAGTCAATTATAAGTGCAGTGGTATCCAGCACCTGGTTTCTGAAACTAACCAAGATTTTATGGATTATCACTAGTACCTTCAGAAGTACCCTGAAAATGAGCATGTGGATGGCAGGAAACCTTTCCAAACAGTGGGCTGAACAAACCTCGAGGTTTGTTTCCCACCTCGSTTGGAACTCAGGTTCTCAATGTGGGATTATAGATCTGCCAAAAGGGGCTGGTGGAGCCCTTTGTGCAGTGAGGAGGCCCTTGCCTTTCCTGCAGAAGCCACCATCTGCTCCCGGGCAGCACACCTGGGCCAGGACCCTGGCTGCAGCGCAAGAACGTCCCTGGATACGGCTGCATTTTGCATTAACTGCTCTGCGTGTGCATGCCAAAATACTCCCTATGGCTATTGCTGCATGATGAGTGGTCCTGAGAAAACTTCTCACTCACGATTTAGTGCTTTCTAACCTATAGGAATGAATTAGTATTACAGAGGAGAGAAAAAGGAAAAAATAAAAAAAAAAAAACCCTAAACACACCTAATGAAGGGAAGGGATAATCGATCTGGGAGATCCCTGCCCAACCAACAGGGGCGATGGGAAGCCAGCGCTTGGGCTGCCTGCCTGAGGGGCGAATTTCTCTGATTTGAATCATAGGCAATAATAGGTTCCTTCTCCTGGAGCCTCCTCGCGGGCCCACCCCCCTTCCCGCGCGAGGGGAGGGCGCCCCGCATGATGCTCCCTGTAAACTGATGCTCGTGCGGGCAGCGCTGCTCGGGGCGCTGCTCGGCGCAGGCAGCCRGGGAAGGAGCCACCGCGTAACGGCCGTAACGGCAGCTGCGGGCGGCCGTTGGGCGGACATGTCCTTCCTGGCGAGGGTTCTGCGGGCCGGGTGCCGCCGGCCGCCGCGCGCGGGCAGGAGGACGCGGCCCCCCGCGGCGCCGGGCGGCGCGGAGCCTCGCGCCAAGAGCCTGCAGGAAATGCCGGGGCCCAACACGCTGCTCAACCTGTACGAGTTCTTCTGGAAGGACGGCTTCGGCCGCATCCACGAGATCCAGGTACGGCGGCGCCGGCTACCCGCGGGGATTCCCGGCGGGATTACTCCGGCTTCCCCATTCCCATTGCCCGAAACACACTGCTCGGTCCCCGCGGTAACGAGTCAGGGGATGAGGACGTTCCCCATTCAACCCGCTGAGCGCTCGGGTGCTCCGCGAGTTCTCATTTATTTATTTATTTATCTGTTGCGCCCGGAGGAGCGGGAAACGTCCCCTCTGCAGCGGCTCGGTCGGGGCTCCCTCCTGGCGGCCGGGGCCGCGAGGCGCGGGCTCTGCCGCCGCCCTCAAGGTGAGGCCGGAGCTCCGTGCGCCCCGAGGGCGGCCTCGCGGCGGCGGCACCGCGTGGCGAGGCGGGGGGGGGCCGCGGGGCTCCCTCCGCTCCGCTCCGCTCCTTCCCGCCCGCCCAGGGACC